CCAGTCGAGATCATAGATTCATTGTAAACTCCACGATCCTTTCATTAGCTTGCTAGGGTTACATGCAGTTTTCAATGTTGTCTTGATAGACTGTTACCAAAGGCTGAAAAACCCAGTCTACCCTACTTTTTAACCAATAGTGCTGAATTCAGAGTTGCCACTCAAGGCTATAGGACCCAATCTGTCTTGCTATTTACCCATAGCTGGGAGGTGGAAGAGTATTTGCATGTAAATGAATGCAATAGACTTGACTGGAACTTGAACTCAGCTCTCCAATTTCTCAATCTGAGCCACTATCCATTTCTCCACCATGCTTCCTCATCATTAATAATATTTCATATTCCTGGAGACTTGAAAATTAAATGTTGATGCTTCCTAAACACCCTGTTCAGCTTCTGTAAGTGTTTTTATTTTTGTTTTGGCTTGTTTTGTTTTATGGCATTTCAACCTCAATGGGTTATTTAATGCCGACAAGATTTTTATTGCTGCTAATATTCTTTCCAAAAACGTATTGCTGGTAAAAATTTTTTCCAATAATGTGTTGCTGGTGTTAAAACCTATTTTTATATTTTCATAGTATTTTGACCACCTTTTTAGGAGGTAGAGGATCAACTATTTGCCCATAACTGGGACCCTGGAAAGTGCTACCACCAGAGTCAGGGTGGAGCTGGGAACACCAGCAATTAAGAAGTGGTTCCACGCTCCTCAAAACTTTCTGATGATGGCCTTGCTGTCAGATGTAGTTTATCACCTAACCCAGGACACAGATGTAGTTTATCACCTAACCCAGGACACAGATGTAGTTTATCACCTAACCCAGGACACAGATGTAGTTTATCACCCAACCCAGGACACAGATGTAGTTTATCACCTAACCCAGGACACAGATGTAGTTTATCACCCAACCCAGGACACAGATGTAGTTTATCACCTAACCCAGGACACAGATGTAGTTTATCACCTAACCCAGGACACAGATGTAGTTTATCACCCAACCCAGGACACAGATGTAGTTTATCACCTAACCCAGGACACAGATGTAGTTTATCACCTAACCCAGGACACAGATGTAGTTTATCACCCAACCCAGGACACAGATGTAGTTTATCACCTAACCCAGGACACAGATGTAGTTTATCACCTAACCCAGGACACAGATGTAGTTTATCACCTAACCCAGGACACAGATGTAGTTTATCACCTAACCCAGGACACAGATGTAGTTTATCACCTAACCCAGGACACAGATGTAGTTTATCACCTAACCCAGGACACAGATGTAGTTTATCACCTAACCCAGGACACAGATGTAGTTTATCACCTAACCCAGGACACAGATGTAGTTTATCACCTAACCCAGGACACAGATGTAGTTTATCACCTAACCCAGGATACCCATTGGTGGGGTCTTACTCCTCTGCAGAGGTGCAGTCAGCATATTCTACAGCCCCAGCTGACATGTTTTATTTTTGTATTTTTTAAAGAAAATGTTTATGTTGGCCTTGCTCAATAGCATAGACAATTAAAAATTGATATTGTTGGTTCACTGTGGAAATGTCTGTCTAATGATTATCCAATAGAATACAGTCAAACATACGTGTATCAAAGCATAATCAGGAGTTATTTACAATTTAACTTTTAAATGTTAACTTGAAACAATATCCACATATAATCAATGAAGGTATACTCCAAATATATAAAAATTTGTACATTTTTTTAACAGTATAGTGCAAGCAAACTGCCATACTTGAAAGTCAACCATGAATTATTTGAAAGAAAAGAACAGGATACACTTTGAACAATGGCCAAGCCAGTATCCTGACCTGAATATTATTAAAACTTGTTGTAATGTACTAAAAAAGTAATGTGAAAAACCAATGTCCAGAGATGATTGATCAACTTTGGAAGATCATGAAAACTGAGTGGGTAAATATTCATCAATACTTTATATTCCTCCCTACCAAAAATAATTTTGGTTAATTGAAGCAATAAAGGAGCTAGTGCAAAATAAGTTTTATATTTAATGTACTATTCATTTTTTAAATCAGTTTAACTGATTTTTTTTGTTATTATAAATAGCCTAAAACATTAATTTACTAAAATCTTTGGTCCATGACCCGACATAGTTGGAGGTAGGAAGTTCATGCTATTACTGAATGTATCACCAACTTGCTCCCTTTTTTCACAGTCATGAGACATGGTCCAATATTTGGCACAACTACTCTGTCCACTTGGCAAAGTCTTCCCACTTGATTTACTCTCCATCTCCTTTTTCCTTGCACTGTTCCTTGAAGGATGGTATTTGAGAGCCAGTCAGATGTGGTCAAGTGACTATAGAATCTCAAGTTTCTTTGACTGTGGTCAGAAGGTTTTCATAAAAGCTAATGTATAGATAGCCTGATAGTTTTTCCAGACTTCATTCATTAGGTCATCTTTGTAGGAGATGCCAAAGAGTCTTCTGAAGGTGTTTCATTTCTACAGTTTGATACTTCTTCTATACAAATCCAAGATTTCTATACATACCAGCAAACAGAACAAGTATGCTGAAGAGCTTTAGCTTTCTTCAGTCTTTTCAGTACTTTGGTTTTGAACCTTCTTCAATGATGACAGTGTCAAGTTACTTAAACTATTTCAAGGTTTCCAACTGTTGTCCACTGATATTGATTTTGTTTTGTCCAATACATGCAGTTTCTCTTTGGTAGGAAGAGCCTAGCATATCCCATCCATCTCCAGGCCTGACCACAGCCACATTCCTTTAGGTGGCTTGCTTGTCTTTATAGGTCATCTTGACACCTTCTGCCCAGACTGGTACCTCTATCATAAAAACAATGTCCAGTGATGTTGTATTAATATCCCCACAGAGCTAGTACTAGTCGTGGGGAAGGAAAGCACCTGACCTGACATTTTAAATTGTTCATATGAAAATTTATTACTTATATATCCAATAAAGAAACAATTTAGATTAACATATCCTTTGAGTTTTCCTTTATTTTTAAGTTTTAAATTAGATCTAGAATCACAATTTTAAATTAGATAATTTTAATGTACTTGACAGTTTGTACCTAACATATTTGCTCAAGATTGTATTAATAAAGTAAAAATTAATGTTATCTGAAACAAGATTCTAGAAAATAGGAAACATTTGCTCATTACAGCAGACCCAGATCAGTTTTTCCTAAAAGGCAAAATGTTGTAATCAGGTAGAAGGGAGAAATTGTGCATATGCAGATAGAATGAAGTGATATAGCAAACACGACAAAAGCAAATAGTTTGGACAATTAAGTATTTTTTCTGTTTGAAAATGAAAAAGAAAAAAAAAAGAAAAAAGTCAACATAATTTTCTATTCAAAACATTAAAAAACCTCAAAAAAATTCTATGCAAATCAAGAGAACTTTTACTTTGAATTTAGTCTTTTGAGGAATACTGTAAAGTGGAAATGGTAATATTGATTTTACTTTTAGTGTTTCCCAAAATAAGTTACTATTGCAACCATTGCCAAAAGTTAGCCACTAAAAGAATGACATTTTTGGACAATTTTACTATTTGTTGTATTGATCCCTGTATGTTATATCATAGCAAAAGTGGCATAATGCCATGCAAATCTTAGTAGTGCAACACCGTTTTTAAATGCCATAGCTTAAATACAATTTCTAGTCTGACTAGTTTCGTGAATCATTTTTAATTAAAAATTTTAACTGCTAATTACAGAGTTATTTCCCTTAACCTGTCTGCACATATCATCAGCCATCCCTGCATACTAGTGCTGATATTTATTTTTGATTTTTAAATGCCCTGTCCATCCAGAATTTATATCACATGACACAAATTCCTTTTCTTTATTATCTGTCATGACTACTTTAGAAAGAGTGGTTTTTGTTGCTTTCTTTACTATTTTGAAGTCAGAGTTTTCCTTCTCAATCTGGTTGCCAACCAACATTAGAGAGTACAGTCTGAGGTTTAGCCCATAGCTAGTGTGAGAAGAGAGATTCATATCTTTCCCCAGGGGCATTTGTGCAAAAGTTAATGCAACAGACTAGATTGGAACTTGAGACCTGCTTAAAGATTCCAGTTTCTACACTGATAATCATTACCCCCTAGTCCCTGTCCACAGACTCTTAGCAGTGATACTTCAATAATTAAGATTAGTGATAATTAGCATTCATAAATAATTATGATAGAAGTTTTATATGAATTGACGTAATTAAAAATTGTAAAACCTAAAAAAAACAAAAAAAAAAAACAAAAAAAAAACATTAAACTTAATTACTAAGTTTTTTAAAATGTGTAAATGTTTAAAAATTTAAGTTTATCAATACCTAGTTGTCAGGAATGCATTTAAGACAATTGCTGGCATGAATTAATTTTTTATGATTTTAGATTTTCTTAATTACTCCTCTCAGACCGAAACAAAAATGAAGAAAACTTATAAAAAATTTTTTAATAAAAACGTCTCTTGGTTTGGTTTATTTTGTTTAATAATGGGTTATTTAATGCTGACAACATTTTTAGGATAGATTCGTATGAATAGAGTATGTATTCTTTGGTTTAGATTGGTTTGGTTTATTTTATGGTATATCAACCTCAATGGGTTATTTAATGACAAAAATTTTTTTTGCTGGTAATATTTTGTTTTGTCAAAAATCTGTTTCTGGTAATATATTTCCTTCAAAATTGTATTGCTGGTAATAATTTTTTCAAAAAAAAGTATGCTGGTAATAGTTAACTATTTGCCCATAGCTGGGACCCTAACAGGTGCTACCACCCTGGGTCAGGGTGGACCTGGGAATACCAGCAATTAAGAGTTGGTTTCACGCTCCTCAAAACCTCCTGATCAGAGGTCTTGCTGCTGGACGTAGTTTAATGTCTTACCCAGGACAGAAAAACGTCTCTTCTATTCAAATGCTGTCGGTAAAGGTTTCAAAAGTCTATCTCCAAATACATCATAGATAAGTATAAAGTAACACATAAGCTTTTATGATAGGAAATTTGAAATACTTACATTTATTCTCAATAAACTGGTGTAAGATACAAGATTTTCCAGTGCCTGCACTTCCAATAACAAGAAACTTGAATAAGAAATCTGGAATAAGGAAAGAAAAGCAAACAAAATAAAATCTTAGCATTTTAAAAGCTTTTATATTAACAGATATACAAAATATTTTGGAAGGAGGAAAAAGTGTTTGAAAAGATAAAATTAAAGTCTCAATATCACCTACCAAGTTCATCAGTTTGATATCTTAAAAACAGAAAATGTTAATACAAGAATTTTCTGAATGTTTTTTTTTATACTTTATATCTTATTTTACACCATTTTATATATATATATATATATATATATATATATATATATATATATGTGTGTGTGTATGTGTCAGAAAAATGTATACACACTTCAGGAAAAGAAAAACTTCTAGATATTGTAATACTGAATTTATTCAGATATTACAAAATTAATACACGTTACCTTGTTGAATAACAGCCATGAAGGTAACACCATCTGTCAAGAAAATATCGTACTACAGTAAACAGTGTTATCACAATTTCATAAAACTAGACACTTTAGACAAGTTTTTCCTTTCCTGAAGTGTGTATACATACGTTTCAATTTTTTTTTTTTTTTATATTGAAGAAAACTTTGCCCATAGTGAATACTATGTAAATAATGATGTCAAATTTCACAGATTAAATGCACTAAAGCTCTAGTTTTAATTTAGAATTCAGAAACTTTTAAGGATTCAAACAGTTGGTTTTATTGTCATCAAAATGAGTAAATTCCATAGACTTGCTTTTTTTTTTTTTTTCAAATCTAGGACAGGCTTCTAATAAAAGTATATATATATATATATATATATATATATATATATATATGCAGATATTATCCAAATTACCAGGTTTAGAAATTTCAGACTGGCATAAGAGAGGAAAAAAAATTCTAGAAAATTGAAGCCAGTTACCCATATGATTGTATAAGGATTCTGTTTTATCAGTTTATGCTTTAACTCTTATCACAATATTAAATCAATGAAATTTATTAGTGAACAAAATTCACCTAAATGTACAAATTTTTGAGTGAAATTTGTCCAGGAATCTTAATATGACCTTTCTTATGTTGTTGGAACTCTATATTAGCAATATGTACGATATTTTTTCACCTCGGCTATTTAATTTATAATATAAGATTAAATGTAAAATTCTGTTTGATATTATTTAGTTACAATAATTATATAAATAGTACAAACAAAAAAAAAGAGAGAGGAAAAAAAGAAAAAAGGAAAAAAGAGAGAGGAAAAAAAGGAAAAAAGGAGGAAAAAAAAAGGAAAAAGGAGGAAAAAAAAAGGAAAAAGGAGGAAAAAAAAAGGAAAAAGGAGGAAAAAAAAAGAAAAAGGAGGAAAAAAAGGAAAAAAAAAAAAAAAAAAGGAAAAAAAGAAAAAGGAGGAAAAAAGAAAAGGAAAAAGAAAAGAAAGGAGGAAAAAAAGAAAAGAAAGGAGGAAAAAAAGAAAAGAAAGGAGGAAAAAAGAAAAGAAAGGAGGAAAAAAGAAAAGAAAGGAGGAAAAAAGAAAAGAAAGGAGGAAAAAAGAAAAGAAAGGAGGAAAAAAGAAAAGAAAGGAAAAAAAAAAAAAAAAAGAATTGCAGCAACAAAAATGTTGCATAAAAACTGACAGTAAATGCTAAAGTCTTTATCAGAGAATTTACACCCAAATAAAGGATAGATTTGTGTACATATATTCTGAATAACATCAGATGGAATAGACAGAGGTACAAAGAGAATAATATAAAGAAAAAAAGTATCAACCAGCATATTCAATCAAACAAAATGCATAATCATTATAAGATGCAACCACTGATTGCACAGACATGCTATCACTTATCTTTCTAACAACTTATGACATTACTATTAAGTATGGAAGTCAGATTTGCAAAAGAAAGCAGGATGGTTGTCTCAAATGTGCACAGAGGTAAGAATGATGCCAACAATTTACAGTTCCATTAGGCAAATAGCTGTTGGAAAAGGATGAGAAACTACAGGTAGCAAAGATACTTTGACAATGGCTTATCTGACTACAACTGATGTAAAAAAAAAAAAAAAAAAACGGCTAGGTAAATTCAAATAAACATTGAAAGAAGGAAAAATAAAAATAAAATAAAATAAAAAAAACAAGCAAGCAGATACATAGAGACAAAAATAAAAATCTTAATATTTCATGTGACAAAGAATACAAAATTCTTGTGGCTTTAAAAAAAAAGTCAATTTTGTATCAGATTTAAACAGATGTAAATGGAGATTTGCACATCAGAGATTAGAGTAACTCTTTGTAAAGGTCAATGTTAAACTTGTTATATTGCAAAAAGCAGATTTTTAAAAATCCAGTCAGAAAACAAATGCACCAAATCCTATGATAAATGAATGAAATATAGAAAAATGACTTGACTGTTTAAATTTTTTATTACCTTGTTGACCTCTTGCTCATTTAAACATGCATTAAACTCTTTCTCTCTCATATATATGATAAAATACTTTTAAGGTATGCTATACTTATGAGTAAAAATGCTCAATATCTGAGAGTGCTTGTAAATGTAAGAGTGGACATTAAGGTCTACATAGCCTGAAGATTATGTTCGATCAAAAAAAAAAAAAAAAAAAAAAAGTTACTCTGGCTACTTAAGAATGCTGTGGTTAATTTGAAAAATTTTAACAGTTAATAAAGTTGAAAAATACAGCGTGTGGCAGAAATACCTCCCACATTAGCTAGATGAAGACACCATTGCCACTAATGTTTTACCATTATGTGGTAAGTGTTTTCTGCCATACTCTATGTATATCCATGAAGAAACTGATTATATGCATATAGGAAATGTTAAAATAAAATGTAAATATGGTGATTTTATATAAAACAAACTCATTAAAAACATTTCTGCATTTTTATATACAAATTGTCTAATGTAGTGAAAATTTTAGGCATCAGAGACCAACTTACAGCCAAATTATTATACTAACAATAAGATACCAATGACATTAAAAAGAAAATAAGTCATTAAAATAACATGTTAATTTACATACAATACAAATGATATTCAACAATTTGCTTTCATGTAAAAATGCATTACCCACAAATGTGGGGTTAATATTATTTTTGACAAATTTATGATGAAAAACAACTGCAAAATAAAAACTTGAAATCTCTCTATGGAGAAGTCCAGTCTTTTGCTGTTGAATAATTAAAATACAAAAATGATGAAATATTAGTGAAATATGTTAACTGTTGAGAGATAGAGGTATTTTTGCAACAACTTTGCTAATTTTGAAAACCAAATGAATAATTGTAATTCTATAAAAAAAAAAAAAAAAAAAATTATTTCAGATAATATCTGATGAATAAACAAGATGGGAAGATTGTTGATATTTAATCAATATGAACAAAACATTTGTTTGTTTAATGTTTAAAAGAAAAAAAAAAAATTGTTAATTGAATATTGACTACCTGTGAATATGTTTGTGAAATTTTTTTTTTATACAGATCACAGAACGGTAAAGTTGCAAAATATAAAATGACAAATTGCAATATAACATTTAAACATTGAATTTGTAAAGTTTGTATTATTAGTATATATTTTTTTTTTAGTGGTTCACAGCAACAATAGATTAATTTAATAAAAGTACATTCTTGTCGGGATGAGAAAAAAAAACATTTTTAAATGAAAAAACAAAACCAAGTCATAAAAAAACAGAAAATTATTAAAAATCGATTTTCTAACCCTCCTTTTATTGATAATTTAATTAGGTCTTTGTTTACAAGTAAAAAGCTTACAGTTTCAAAGGCATCTTTAGGCATCTGTTAGCTTTCCCAACATGATGAAGACAACTTGTGCAGAAAAGTATGTCACACATACAAAGTATGTGCCTGGTAGATTTTGTGGTTGATTGATTTCTTTTTTAAATGTGTCATGTCCCTTTAGGACATGGATGTTCAAGACTTTTCAGTTTTTAGAGAAAAATATTTAGAAGTAAATGAAAATGTTGGTAGTTTTTATATTAAAAGTAAATCAAAAGCAATATTTAGCAAACTAACTTCATAGCTAAGTGATTTTGATCCTTACTGAGTGCCCTACACTTCTAGCCTTATGCCCCAATAAGCAAAGTAACCATTATGTTTCAACAAATTCATTGCAGACATACAAAAATATAACTATACAATTGATGAAAATTCTTGTGTGAGTGACAGAAAAGAGAGAGCACCCTATAAGAAAAGAGTGGTTAGCAATTTAGGTTTACAAGCCATTGTTAGTAAGTTTGATCCTCTTTGTGTGTCTCACTTCTCTTTACCTGAATAAGTTAAGCATATATTAAGCATAAACAAGATGTGTGAGTGTAAGTAAGGACAGTGAAAATACAGAAAAATCTGCTATGTAATGTGGATCAATTTATAATGAAAATCTCAGAAGCCAATAAAAAGATAAAAATTTTTAAAGCATAAAGCTAACCCCACCCCACAAAAAAAACATTAATATCTAAATGTGGATAAGAAAAAGGCATGTTTAATGGAATAAAAAATATTCATACTTGAAATGCTTACATTTGTTAACATGCGGAGACATTCAAATCCATATTTATATAACCTGATATTGTCATTTTAATTCTATTGACTGAAAGTAAAATGGCACAATATACTACAAAGCTATGCACCTAAAAACCCAAGTTTGAATTAAAATAAAAATGTAGAAATCCTTTATCCCAAATTCTGTTATTCTTGAACATTTTCTCAAGAATATGTGAATATGACAGATGTTTTGAAGCTGTATAACCTTTTATTCAATGAACATTTTCTCTGTATATTTTAATATATAACCTAAAAAATGTGGGTGCATAACAAAACCCAATCATAGTTGGTAAACTGCAACTATGATAATCTTTCATTTTGAGAGTGAAACTTGAGTTACCTATGTTTTATTCTTTATATATTTGATTAATACAAATAAAATTTGTCACTTGTTTAATTGATGCTATATATATATATATATATATATATATATATATATATATATATATATTGTCTATTTAGGTGGCAATCCTTTCATGCAGGC